CCCCAAAACCCCAAAACCCCGAGAAGCAGTATTATTTTGATTTGGGCGAAAAGTGATATGAAAATAATAGGAATTTCATTATAATTTAAGATTTGATTCAAAATGTTTTTCCAAGCGAATAACGAGTAAACCATCCTACAATGTGTTTAGTAGATTGGACCTGCTGTTGGAGCTTAGTAAATGCTTAAATGGGAATTCAAGCATGCTTAAGAGGCTATTGACAGTGGAGTTTATATTACATGGGTTTGCGATGATTAATCAAAAGGAGATTGCTTTAGAATCGGTTCTCAATCTAATTGCTTCTGTGGACATCGATTTAGCTCTCATGAGCTGATATTGAAGAAAGCTCAAAAGACTAATTGTAAGGATTGTAAGTGTGCTGAATTTAAATTCATGCCTCGAAGGCCTGAGGAAATAGGACAGGGTCATTTGCCTAGAAGAAAAGGTTTTGACATCAATGTATGGAGACCATCATGCAAATGCAAGCATACTCATGAACAGCATACACCTGTTAAACCCTTTAAATGCAAAGCTTGTGGTTGTGGACAATTTGTTTCTGATTTCGCTTGTATAAATTGCGAAATGAAGTATGAGGATCATTTCACAGTTTTCGAGCTTGAGAAAGAAAGAAAAGCAGCCAAGAAAGCTATTAGAGAGGACTTCATGCCTTTGGCTACATCTCCCGAGATACAGCAAGAGGTGATGAAGAAATTAAAACTAGATGGTAGAACTGCCGAAGAGAGATTTCTTGAAGAAATTAAGCGAGGGGATTAAGAAGAATCTAAGCAGATAGTACTTACTCTGTAGGAGGACGGGGCTGGGGGTATTGCTCAGAGACCTTAAGTGCAATATATAATTGAAAGAAAGTAAAACTTTGCCCCAAAGCAAAACTTAGCTAAACCTGAGAAATCAATTTAGCTAATGCAATAGAGAGGGATAGCCGGACTTGGAAATACTACAAATTAGACTGCAAATACTGTAACGATGAAGCCAAAAACTACATCTGTACCAAAAGCTGGGGGATTTATGAAATCCTCTGTGCCTAAAATGTAATGAAAATGATGAACTTCCTAGCAGTTAGATTGCTATATTGATAATTTATTTAATACTTATTCAATTACTTACTTAATTTCTTAATGCTTTTTGCATGGGGTTTTGGGGTTTTGGGGTTTTGGGGTTTTGGGG